AGCCCTATATACCCAAACTCCCCACCTGTAGTTTAGCATAGCTTCAGAGCTCTGGCCCTCTGCAACTCCTATCTGAAGCCTAAATCTACTTAAAGGATCATGGGACTTAGTAAGTAGGGTTATAATTAGGGTAATTATACTTATAACCCCAATTAAAGGACTTGTAACCTTACTTACTAAGCCCCATGATCCTCCAAGTAGAGGCCCTGAAACCTATCCGATACCCGGAAGTCTTCTAGATTCTAACCCAGGGTGTAGTGGTGTGTGTGTGTGTGTGTGTGACGTCTCAAGTCCCCAAATCAGGGTTTTAGGGTTGAGGGGTTTAGGAGTTTAGCGTTTTAGGGTTTAGGGTTTAGGGTTCAGGGTTTAGGGTTGAGGGTTGAGGGGTTTAGGGTTTTAGGGTTTAGGGGTTTGTAGGCCACACACAGGCCTGGTGGAGCGCCAGGAGTGCGAAGAGGCTCCCACCCGGACCACCATCCTCACCTCCAAATAAAAGAGTACCCCTTCTATGGTTCTTATACAAACATACTTCAAAAGACCTCAAAACCACCCTAAACCCTAATCCTAGTTATCCTAGTTCGTATAAATGCCCTTGAAGAAGGAAGCAGTCATATGTGTATTTCGACGAGGGAGTCTCAGAGACTCCAAAACCACCAGATGCAAGTTGTATCCCTGGAAGCATACACGCATACAAACCCTAAACCTCGGAGGAATGTTACTGAATGAAAATTCTTGCTGGAGTTTCTGGCTTCAGAGTTTTGGCGACAAGTTCGGGATCGGCGTCTGTCGGATTTTAAGTTGGGCTCGCCTGTTCGGCTCCATGATGCTAGCGGCTCCTCCTCGCTTGCCCTCTTCCCCGAACTTATGATACAGGAGCTTCAGCGAGTAAGGGACCGTAGCTTTGGCCCTAGACCCTAAACCCTAAAACCCTAAACCATGACCCAGTGACCCGAACAAGTAGGATAAGGGACCCCGAGTTTTGGACCCTATATCGGGGACTCCAAGGCCCTAAACCCCCAAACCTTCCTCAAGAGCGGGACCCTCATGTTCAGGAACCCTTAACCCTGAACCCTAAATCCTAAACCCTAAATCTTAAACCCTTAACCCTAAACCCTACATCCTAAGCCCTTAACCCTAAACCCTAAACCCTAAACCCTAAATCCTAAACCCTAAACCCTGAACCCTAAACCCTAGGAGCTCTTCCTGAAAGGACGAAGTTCGGGAGTTCATGGGAGCTTCGGAGCATTCGGTGCTTGCTATAGACCCCCCCCCCCCCGAAGTAGGATCCTTATAGATCCTTATTGAATAACTACAAGAGACTCTGACTTCGAAGGTACCTCTAACTTCCAAGGCAGACAAGCTATTCAGGATCCATTGCAAGTAGGATCCTTACTTCAGTTTAGCCGACCAGGTACCTAAAATTCCGCTTGAACCCTGATATTGACCTCTCTTCTTCAACACCAGGCCCAAAAAAGTTCAAACTTTTTGTTAGTAGACCTAATATATAATGCCGAAAAGTTTAAAGTTCTCCTATTGGCTATCTAAGTTACAGGGTGCAATGGTTGCTATGATTGGCTTCGATGACTTTTCGCCTTTAGGGAGGCGGTCTTGCCATTGCAATTCTATTTCAAGTTGCATTGCAGCGTAGGACAAGTTCGTACACACGCCGGCACACATGAAATAAGCCAGTCTTTCTTCGTACCCTTCATGGCAACTATGCAGCTACTAGTATTATGTACATACACGTAGAAACCCGCACACACGTGTGTGTGTATATATATATATATACATTTATTTATCTATTTATTATGTATTATGTACATGAAAATATTGTTAGTTATACATATGTATATATATATATATATATATATATGTATATATATATATATATATCGGGTTGTGCTTTACAATGGTTGCAACCCGTAAATCGAAATTCGCCTTGCACTTGGCCCTTGCGCGCACACGGTTTTAAACACATTCCCACCTAGAAGCCATGATGAGCCAAGTGCTAAACTCTTTGTAAGTCGCGCCGACGGGTTTTTGCACATTGCCGGTTTATGCCGGTTTAGGGGTCGACAATTACCGAGCTTAACGGCAACGGACTCAAGGGCCAACTTATCCCAGGTAGCTTCTTATTATACTCATTGCCCTTGCTGTGCAGACTTACGCATGGTGTGTTCCTTTAGTTGCGGCCACGGTGTTCTGAACACTGTTACTCCTCGTGCGACCAGCTTCCGAGGAGGGACTACCGCTGCCTGACACCCTAAACCCCTATACACCCTTATAGCCCTTCTATACACCCTAAACCCTACATCCTAATGGTTCTTGACCCCCGGGCCTGTGACGAAGTAGAGCGTCGTGAACGCCAGCATGACCTGAAGAGAACAAACAAACCCAGGCTAACACGTACTCAAACGCAAAATCGTGCAGGGAAACACCACCCCAAAGCTGTAGTAGTAGGAGTAGCAGATACTGTTGCTATCACTCGTAGTACTAGCGGCATGAGTATGAGAGAAGCAGCAGCAGCAGTTGGGCAACAGGAACAACAGGACCATTTCTCACAAACCTTCAAACACTTACAGACACATGGGAGCTGGGAGCAGTTCAGATCTCTGCAGGCACATGCAAGCTTTAACATGACAACTTGATTCTGCTGCTCGTGAGGCTATATGCGCAGTGCTCCACACAACAAAGACACTCCTCAACCCTAAACCCTAAACCCTAAACCCTAAACCCTAAACCCTAAACCGTAAACCCTGTAGCCTCGACCGAAAGTCCTTCTGAAGCCCTAGAGGGCCGAACCCTGAATCCGCAGCATCGACAACCTGGACTCCATGAACCCAAAAGCCCATTTAGGGCTTAGGGTTTAGGGTTTCAAACCTAAACCTGAAACCCTAAACCCTCAAGCCACCAGCAGCACGGCCAACGCCGCCGGATGCAAAATCGAGAAGGGAGCCATGGATGTGGTTTAAGGCTTCGGTTTGTGGCTTAGCTTGTTTAGGGCTTCGGGTTGGTCTAGCGAACACTATGAAGTCGAGTGCACTGTTAGCTTTGCTGGTGACAGTGTGAGCTTCGCAAACATTTGATACGAAGGGCAGATGCTAGCCAGTGTAGAAGGGTTGCATGCATCAACAGAACATTTACAAGTTGTGTCTAGGGTTGCATGTAATGAGGCTCCAGGAGGATTCTTACACTGCTCAATTAGGCATCATGGTGATGTTCCGAATGTTTCTGCTGAGGCATCTGGTTGATCAGAAGTTTGCACACCGAACGGATGCCACAATCAGTTCTGTA